TTTTCTTTTTTTATGCAGCTTATAATGGCAAACAAGCTGACGGCCCACCTGATGGAAAGTGGTAACCGTCGCCTATAGACATGGAACTCTTTTAACTCATATAATTTTACTTCTTTACTATGTTGAAGGTATACCGTGTGATCCCATCATAGAATAGGTCACCCTCTTCCTTTCCCGTGGGTGTCGTAAGTGGCGACTAAGGGTAGGCGAGGGATGGGTAGTAGCGTCTCTTTTAAAATAGTTCTAAAGCCTAACTGCTGTTGCCAATCCGTCTGCCAAGTGTAGCAGCTACTGGCAAAACCCCTCTAAGGGGAGACTTATATTCAGCAGTAGGCAGTTAAAGGCGGATATGATGATGATGTCGTCTGTATTTTTATGTGGTTGTATTATGTGATTGCAACGCTAATGCTAACCAAACCATAAGATACTTAGTTTTTTTCTAGAATAATATTTATCTCAAACATATTTATTCTTTTTATTAAAATACATACGCATAAACTTTTGAAACGCGAAGAGATTGTGCCTTGTTATAAAAAATAGTCAAACTAAAACGCTGAACAATCCGGATGCAAATTAATATAATTACTCTCTAGCTTCTTTCTTACTAGAACTAGGTTGTTTAGTCCTTTTTGTTCTACTAGTAGAACAAAAAGTCATAGAAGAACAAAAAGTCGTAGAATTATACGGATACAATCGATTTTATAATTCTTTCTACAGTTGTTAGGGATTACTCTCGTATTGCTTCCATGTTAATTTTGTGACAAAGAAGCCGCTGTTTTTGACATATTCATGTCTTTAAGTGACGGTTAGCTTATTCCACCAGCTTATTTCAAAATCACGATAAATAAACCTATGATTGAACTGTTGTTTTAATTATGATTAAGACTTAGTTAAATGATACTTTAACCATTTGTTCAATAGTAATTATGCAAAAGCATAAATTAACCTATAAAGGTTAATTTATCGCCTTCTTAACAGCATCATAGTCATATTTAACGGAAGTAACCACCGAGCTAACTCAGTTTGGTTTGTCAATCTACATTTTTATATAATGAGTAAGGAGTGTAGAGTCATATGAAATCAAAGTTTATACAGTTTGTACAAAAGTCTTTTGCTTTGGTACCTCTGTTTCATTTGTGTTTCTGCTGTGTTTCAGTTGTGATTGCAGCATCCGTTTGAATGACATTACAGGGTACGGAGTATAATACCTTGGTCCTCAAAAATGGCAATGTTTGTAGGGTACCACGGGCGACACAGTATACTCTCTGGTACGTCCGTGGTATTGTTGTTGTCTATAGGCGACGATTACCACTTTCTATCAGGTGGGCCGTCAACTTGTTTGCCATTCTAAGTTGAAAAAAAATCCCTCAATGACATTGGTATTCGTATGAAAACAAAGTTCTACCTAGTATTTATTGATCGAACCAAATATATTACAATATGTGCTTATCTACCAATAAAGCACTCAATTCCCCACAGATATTAATTTGAATATCATAATACTACGAAGTGCTTGATGTTATCTATTATCAGTTAGCATAGTGATATCACCGAGTATAAATATGACCCGCTTCTGCTGTTTTTCGCTCATCTACTGAATCGTATAAAATCTAGGTTAATGATCTTTGGGGAGAGTTGGATGCTTTTTGCACAAGTCTTTTGTCCGTCTGGTTTTGTTATGTAGGAAATCATAAATTAAACGGCTTTTGTGTTTTTAAAAGTAGACGACGCAGTACGTTTCGTTGTTTTGGGACGACAAACAAGTAGATTTTGCACGTAGACATTTATATAATCAGTAATATGTAAATTTATATAATCAATAGTGTTTGACCTCATCTATAATTATGTACAGAGGCGGGTAATATTTTAAGATTTTGTTTAACCACACCAAACACCGATTTTAGTCATGACCAAAACAGTTATTTTGATATAAAAACTTATGTACTCGACCGATTTTGTAAAAATTCCTATAAGATTAATCTGAAAGTATATTTTTTCAGATACAAAAAGAGTTTTTTAAATCGCTTTATAAATACAATTATGAGGTAACAAATATAAAATATGTACAACGAAATTGTGAACTTCCTCTTTTTTTGAAGTCACTTAAAAAAGTATAAATCATTTCAAAATATGATCTAGTAATGGCAAAAATACGATTTGTTGCTATTTTTAAAGGCTCCTCATTTTTACCACTCTGTTTCTCTAGTTATACAAGTCTATTTCATTAATAAACCATATGAGAGACAACTTAAGTCAACAACATTGTATTTTACGAACGGTAGCACAAGCAAACAATATAAGTCACCAATTATTTACAATCAAGTGTAATTTGAAGACTTCAGTAGTCGTCCATAAAATCTTATATCTCCATATCCGTCCCTACATTAGCCACATATAGCGCACTTATATCACGAAAGGCCGATCTCAACACGTTATTATAGTTAGGGTTGTCGATTATTAAGCGTGTGGGCATCACAGAATTTATTTATTTAAAACATTCTATTTAATTTAATTTATTTATTTAACTTACGTCACAAATTGAAACCAAAACAAAGTGCTTTATGTATATCATATACATAATATATACATGACACAGTATTGTTAGGTTTACAGTTCTTAAATTATGCGTAAATAAATTGTATTTATATTAAGTATATTATTTTTTAAATGATATACGTGCGTATAACTAAAACCATCGTTACGTGTATGAATAGCGAATATTATATACATGAAAAAGAAATAAAGAAAATTGACATATTAACATAAAAAAGTGCATGTTGCTTGCATCTACCGTAATGGTACGTAAAACAATACTCTTATCGTCAGCTTGCTATTTTTTATAATATGCAATGCCATTATTTTTGGTATAGCTCGGCTAATTATTTATGTAGATAGATATACAGTACTAACAGTGTACGTACAGTGCTGTGTTTACGTAGTATTTTTTTAAATATAACAAAAACACTCATAATAATCTACTGATAACTGACGGTTAGATAAGATGTCCTTAGTGATATTTCAACGTCAATAAAATAAAAATAAATATACATATTTTAAAATAAAAAAATAAAACATAATTACACTATGCTTTAGATTGTTATACTCCTTACATGCAATATTTTTTTTTATTTTTATTATTTTCAGTGCCAAAAAGAGGTCATATAATGTATAGTGATAAATACATTAAATGTATTTAATTTTACACAAAACACTGAATTACCAAACCCTGTACTCTTAGTGCTTTCGATCGCTGTCGTGTACTGGTTAATGTTAGTATAAATATAAGTACATATACATTCACAAGTGGCAACCCTAAATCCAATATAAACGTACTTCATGCAGCTGTAAACCGTGGGAGGGGCGACATATGGTTTGATATTATTATTTACTACGTACTACAATGTACAACGACCACCGTCGTTGTGGACTTGCTCTATTTTCGTGTGGTATTCTGATATTGATCTTGTAATGTATTATTTATGGGATTTATATTGATTGATGACGTATAAAGCTAGCCAATATATAATTAAAGCTTAGTTGAAACTAGTAATTTTGTGTAAAAGCTTAGCTCCAATCGCTTTACATACTACTTAATGGCAAAGAGTACTATTCCATTTAAATAATATTTTTATTAACGGTGTATAGTACACCCTGCACAAGATGGGATGATGACATCAGGGAAGTGGCTGGTATAACATGGGACAGACTGGCTTAAGAAAGACGAGAATGGAAACGTTTGGAGGAGGCCTTTGCCGATTGGTGAATTACAGAAAATAAGCAACAAGCAATTACTAAAATAAATTATTTTGTTTTATTATGTTTTTTAAAGTTTAATGTTTGTTTTAAAGCAGTGTTAAGTTGATCTGAATAAAGGCTGTTTATTTTACTTTTTATTTTATATATCTGTGCCTCTAGTGAGAAAGGGTTCAATTCAAAATGGTCACTTTTCAGGAGAGCCAAAAAACTATTTTAAATAAAGAATAAAAATTCTGCTGCTTTTATTATTTGCTAATTGAACAAGTCAATGATTGCATTTATAGTAATTTTTTCTCCTCTTTCTTATGAAATTGTCGGTTTTTGTGTAAAACCTATAGTTTTAAAAATAATTCTATTATACCTAATCATACTTAACAAAAATATTAAAATTATGATGTGAAAATAGTTTTAAGTTGAATTAAAACTATTTTATTGAAGTATTGAAGAAAAACAATGTTGTGTATTTTACGCTATAAAAAATAATCGCTATTAAATGGTGTAAAAGGGTTCAAATCGAACTGATTCATTTTACAAAAATAATTTTTGTAAAATATTGTAGTTTTATTTCTAATTATGACTTTTTTACCACAAATATTTTGTTAATTGTAGCCTTTTACATGTTTACTATCTCTATTGTTTTTAAAGATATCGTTACGATTCTTATACCATTCGAAAGAGAAAAATTTGCTTATTTAAAGTAGCCTAAAAAAGAAAAAGGCTATAACTTGAGTTATACCCTTTCTCACTAGAGGCACAGATATAGTAGGTATTTCTATGATACTTAGAATGACACACATGACATAATAGGCTATCGGCTCACTCTATAAAAGATGGTAACCGTCATCTATAGACATGAATGCCGTCATAGAATACACTGTGGTGCCTATTGGTACATTTCATGCATAGATAATCCTTAGGATTTCAGTGTTATGCCTTTATACTCTGTAATTTCACTGCTATAATGTAGTCTTCAAACCCACTACCGAAACTCGAGTGGGACAGAAATACACACTCAGATGACATCTGTACAAAATTGCTACACATAAAATAATATCGAATAATACTCATGTAGGATATAAGTAATTTGGTGGCAGTAATGATATTCAACATCTTATTGTTAAAAATAAACGCGACTTATCTTTTATAATGTAACTTGATAATATTTCTTTATAATATGAAAATATATCTACTATATTTTATATGTATTTCTAATTATTCTAATAAAATGCATTCTTTATTTCCAGGTAAGACGTGTTCTTTCATCGCATCGCACAAATGGGTATTTATAAATTAATCATATTCCAGTTTATATTTAGACTGGTTATAAATTACCACCAAATTTGTCTAAACGATTACTCAGTAACAGCGGTGAGACGGGTTAGAAGATAAATTTTCACTTAGAGCCAGATTTAAAAATGATCTGTATGTTCTGATACGTGGGTTCAAATTGATTTGGCGTGATACGTAATATAAAACAGAAGCGTGGCCATTTATTTAGTGTCCCGCATCCAATTACAATCGTAATGGTTTGTAGCTACTGTCTACTGTCAGTGACATTTGTTGGGGCTGCATATCACACTGTCACGAACAATAAAAGATGGAGAAAGTGATTTTTAATTTATTTTTATTAGAACTCTGTAATATGTCGCTTTGAAGCCAACGTACCTGATATATAAGCCTAAACGGCGTAATTTTGTGTGAGATGAAAATGGTATAGCGATCTAGCCTGCGGTATCGGTATACACTGGCTGACCAGTAAGAGGTTGATGGCTGATGAACATAAAATCGAGTCAGTTGGAAAATCGTGATAAATTCATCAGAAATTACCCACGATGGTTTCAATGGGAGCCACGTAGCAGTTGACCTGACAAAAATAATAACAATTGCTAGCAAAGTGACTGTTAGACTCCATTACTAACAATTTTCTTCCCTTTCTGAAATGCGTAGATGTGACCTTTCAGCGATGAGATGTTATTGCACGAGTCCTGTGAAGTTGTCGGGGCCTTTCTGCGCTTTTGTATGGAGGTAGGATGACTATGTCATCTATATGCTAAATGACTCATTTCGGAAAATATAGTACGTTATGATTCTGTTAAATTATATCAAATTAACAAGGCAAAGATGAAAAACAATTTTTACGAAGTTTTTGTAAATTTTGAACATTTTGGTCTATATATATAATAAATTGGACATAATATATATTTATTTTATAGAATAGATGAATACAAACGTATCTTACAAAATTCTCAATATGATTATATCGTAATATTGTAATTTACTTTTTGAATTACCGAAATTCTAAAAATGAATATTTTGACTAGATAATTTTTCTATATTAAATACTAGAGATAAGGCCCGACCTCGTACAGTTAGATAGAATTTTTGAAATATTCAACATATTTAATTGTAAATAATATGTAATAAATGTTATAATATGTAATAAAATTTAATTTCTGACTTTATTCATTACAAAAAAACAATCAAATTTTATTTATTAATATATATCATATGATCATGATAATTTTTAGTTATGAATATAGACCACGAGTCATATTGAAATTTGAATTCTGTAACTCAGACAGGACGTGAGTAATCAACAATAGTAATTAATTACTAAGATATGAGTAAAGCTGATATAAATGATATATAAATTATCTGTATTTTACAGGATATACAAAGTTTTTTCTTTTTAATTTAATATAAAGGCACAATCACAATTCACAATAAGTATTAATTTAATAATATATATTACGTGATGTAATTTATGGTAAGCCATAGTTTAAAGAGTTATTAATTTAATTTATTTTTGTTTAAAAAACTTATAAATTGACGTTGCGTCGTGGTCTCTAGTGTAGACTGTCTCGTATTGGATTGGTTATTAACCGAATTTAAAAATAAGGAGGTTCTTAATTCGATTGTATTTCTTTTCATGTTTGTTACCTCATTAGTTGTAAACCAATTTGGTAAAATTCTGTTTTTTATTTAGAAGGATATTCATATAGATGCCATAGCATTTTTTTTTTTGTGGAAAACAATCTTATATTTTTATGGTCTGCTAAGAGTCGGTTGATAATACGTATTTATTTTCAAATTATATTGTTTCACATCTTCCTTAGTTTTCAAGTGATTTTTCAAATTGTTTAACGTATTCATTGACAATCGACGGCTATATATAAGTATGACTATTCAGTAACATCTAACGATTTTATTCTTGTTTTGTGAAGTTATATACTATTATTTTTTATGAAAAATTAAATAGCAAAAGAGACTAATGACCCATCTGATGGAAAGATCAAAATACACTGCGATTGTCATGGTGACCCCCTTTTCAGTTCTGAGGACTGAGATGTTTTGCTTCCTTATTTTATAATTTCATTGCCATATTCCTATTTTATTTAAATTTTTCCGACTACATTGATTTAGTTCTTGCGGTAAATTCTCTTACTGGATTACGTGACGGTATAATATAATGCACACTTTTCAAACCGTGCCTCGGACTAGCCGTTATACCTATAGCTTCTTGTTATCACGGACGATAACCTCGTTTTGTTTATCGTTATAATAATTTTAACTCTTATCATTCAAGTTCAAAATTGCAATAAGATAAAATAATTTATGTTAATCAACACAAGATAGAGATTTATTGGCTTAATTTTACTTTTTTATGCGACTTAAAATGACTTAGCTGATGGTACATTTGAAAGTCGTAATCTGCGCATATAGGCATAAATACCATCATAAGATATCACAGAATACGCTGTAATATCAATGGTCTCTCTCGTGTGTTTCTTTATTGTGGATGATCCAAAGAGTTAACTTTAAATGGAGAGTTACAAAAATGTCGAAATGTATTAATTTAATTAACACTTAACTGAATCTTGAAACTCCCACACTTGAAAATCAATTTGTAAATATATTGATAGAAAAAAATACTACATAGGACCACTTTACTAGTAAATACACCTGACCATTTTAATATTTAAATGTGATAATTAATTAAAATTGTCTTTACAAGATTTGTTGTAAAGAACTCACATATAAGTTATTTATATAATTTCCTTTTCACCAATTTCTTTAACTGCCACCCAACGGCCCCCTTCTTTTTCTTCAAACTTTCTTCCATACCGCATGAGGCAGATACCACCAACAAATATATTCCCAAGCAGCGGATGATCTTAGGCAGGCGGCTGGTTGTAAAACCAAAAGCCAAAACCTTATGTAATAAAATAATATTTCACTAACCCCAAATAATTGGGATAAGGGCGTTGATGATGATGAATTGCATTATAGTTTCGTTTTGTGTGTAAATATTGAACACCTAAGGTATTAAGTTTATAGTACAAATCTGTGGTTTGACCGTTCCTACCGCAATTGCTATGAAATGACCGCAATTTACTAGTTCACACGGTAGAACTAGAGCGGAAGAATCGTGTAATCTGTAGGGTCATCTGCTATGTACCGTGTTACGTTCATTGTTTCTTTAGATGCTTTTATCGATACAAGACGCGTAGGAGCGTCAACTGCTTAGAAAGTATCCAATTACTCGATAGAATCGATTCGTTTATCTACTATCGACTAGAACTGTCCGGCCTACGTATGGGCTGATATTGAGAAATGTTGGGAATATTGCTTTATAGGGATGATTTATTTTCAATTTGATTATTGTCGATGGTATTATAATCAAGTACATGTATAATTTTGAGAGTATTGTTAAGACTGAATTAGATTTGGAATTTCAAATATAACGCCTCTTTTCTATGGAAATTAACCGTAACATTCATAGATTAATTTTCAATGTGATTCAAAATCACTAAAGAAGTACCTGATGATAAATTGTTAGCAGATGTGACGTGCGTGTTAATCTGTTAAACTCTTCTATTTTACATCTAAGAGGTTCATTTGCAGCCCTTAATTTCTGCAAGAACTAATTAGTATACTGCTTTAATTAAACGTAACCCCATTCGATTCGATTTCATCCTGTCATGCTCTATTTCGTAATTTCACCATCATCTGTACTTATTGTCGTTAAATGAAACAGAAAAATAGAAACGTATAGGCGCGTAGTGGGCAATAGATAATCATTAGAATATGTCATGTCACAGTAAGCCCATCAACTGTCACAAACGTTTGCAACACAAATCATCGTAGCAAATTATCATCGGTCATGATTGCAAAGTATTGTGATAATGCCCTCTTGTGAAACTTGTATATCAGTTCACTAATTCAGCAGTCGGAAAACTATTACAGAATAGGGTCAAAAGTGTTACTGAATGTGGTAATGATCGGTACATTCTGACTTATGAATTTGAGTGACGATCAAGCCGCGTTGTGGGAAATGACCTTTACTATCCAACACTGATTGATATGAAGGTATCTGATTGATTGTTTGTTTTGGTAAATATTAGATGTTTATTTTAAATCATTAACGCTTTTGTACAAGACCACAAAAGAAGTAACGGTACGTACAAGAAAAATAATGAACAAGAATAAATGCATGAATATTTATAATTATTAATATTAAATATGATCAGTATATAGATGTTAAGAATAGGTATAAGTCCACATATTTCGCCATAGATAGAGAGATACTCTTGGTTCCTCCAAAAGATTACAATAGTAAACTTATTATAAATATAAATAAATACATAATAATTAAGCTTACAAAAATTAAAGAACGTAAAAGTATAAAACTAAGTAGGAAGCGTTAATACCGTGGCTGCTGATGGTATATTAATGCCAACAGTTATCTACGAGTATTTTGAAGCTGATTTGAAATAAATTTACGTGAGAGTTTTGGGCAATACCATTTTAACTTAACTGTTAGTTTAGGTGAAGTCCTCGTACATTCAGTTATCATTATATTAAAACATGGAATATTCTAGGTAGATGACAAGGTTATTTTTAACTAGTATTTGTAATTTAAATCAATAATACACATGTAATACGACGACTTATGTATTTGATTTGCACATCCTACGTATTCTACGAACAAACTAATGATCAAAGCTAAGTTGATGTAAAATAAATATTAAAATCTAAATTGTTAATATTTGACGTAGCTTGTCCATCTTTGCGTTACTGTAAATTTATTTAAAATGTGTACTTTATAATCAACTTACAATTTTTTCAATGAGAGCCTTCATTCGCGATTTCATTACATTCGATTCTAATATATAAATAAGATTATTTTATACTGATAATTTGATAAATGTTTATTCGTAGGCAATATCATTATTAAACATAGTTATTTGCATTACATATTGCTGTGTTCGCTTTGTTTTGTTTGTTTGTTGTTTCTTTAAGTTCTGTATACTCTTCTTCTTCTTATTACCCTGATTTCCATATGTTATGTTATATAAATGTGTTTGTTACCTTTAAGTTAATAGATCGTCAGGAGATTTTGTATAGATATTGTATTAATAAGATTACTATTTCGATCCATTCGAAATTTCAATATTTTCGCCACTGCTAGTCATTTAGTTAGATATGTCGCTTTCTGTAGAGATAATGAGTGGTTTTTATAATGTGTAGTTTTTGGAACACTTTCCCTTGTCAGTGGTTAAAATATTTGCTCGTTTATTTACAAAAGAAAAACTGCACTGGCGTATTTACAAGTATTATTATTGGTTACCCTAATTCTAATAAAATTAATATTGTATATGATAATTAAAATTTAAGCAAACGAATAATTAACCCGACCATGTCCTATATTATACAAATAAACAATTGATTGGATAATATCGATGTGTTACTAATTTCATTTATATAGTCGTTCTAAGATAAATTTTAACAAAGCTTGTTTATTTTTTCATTCAATTATATTAAAACAGACTAAAAAAAGACAATGATTTCATTTATAGGCGACGGTTACCACTTTCCATCAGGTGGGCCGTCAGCTTGTTTGCCATTCTAAGTTGTATAAAAAAAAAAATTCTCTATCGTTAAATTGTAGTAATATTATCTTCTTGATAATTTTTTTTACTGTATAACTGAGGAGATTGCAGTAAAATGAAATTTTATCCTAAGTGCATGTGTTTGTTACGTGCTAATTTTAATTTGCCAGAAGTATCAGCATGCGGCGTTTCCTCACTATAGAACAGTTTGGCATTTAGGTCAGTTAAAGATAATTTTCGAAGTATTTCTCAGGTGCATGATACTATAGTTATAGTTAACTATGTAAATATATTTGGGTAACTTTATTGTATACTTCCTTTTTGCTCACTTTTTCTTACAAGTGGATTTCAGAAATAAAAATACCAATTTAATAGATCACTTTAAGATGGTGGATCAATATAAAATACACAATATTTTAATTTAAACCTTTAGGAATACAACTGCGAAAACCACATCTTATTTAGTGGTGTAGTTTTTACGTGTTGCAGGAACAGACAGACCGATAGATAAAATTTCTAAAAATTATTGTTTTGGTTTCTATTAATCCTATTTATATTCCTCATATCGATTGTTTTAATGTCTCCCATGTACAGACATTGCCTAGTTACAATTTTATTATTATAATAAGAAATAATCTCCCACGTGTTGTTAACCTAATTTTGCTAAACCTTTTCCATCATATGCCCAGCAGAATCTATGATTAGAAATAGATTTACTACCAAGAGTGATCTCATGAATTATGTATCCTTATTACCAGTAAGTGATTAATTGATCGCCTCTTATGATCTTACGGTTCATTACTAATAAGTAATCGTTTAATACGTGTCTATCTGTCTGTACAAGGTATGAGATATATCATTAATTTATTTCCTTGCGATAGTTTAAGGTCAGATAAAAAAGTACATTTTGCAAATGTGAGCAATAAATCTTTTCCATTCAATCAAGTGTACTTCTTATAAGTTATTTACTTATTTTGATTGTATATATTCATTGTTTATATTATTTTATTAAGAATTATAATTACTTATGATAGTATTTCTTGCCACTGTATAGTATTTATAATACATCACATTTCGACATCATCATATTTCGATTGCCCGTACACTATCCCCGTAGTTACCGTTCCGTG